GAGGTTCTGTAACATACGATTAAGGTCTCAGGTCAATAGGGTTCACTACTACATGTTTCGAGACCCCAAGAGCCCAAAATGTAGGCACACGTCGGCAGTATCATGCCTTTACTGCCTCCCTCAATGAGCTTATGGTTAGGTCTTATTAAGGCACGATCGTGCATAAATTAAATGATACATGTTATGTCTTAAATGACTTGGTATATATAGATACTGCATGCCAGGAATATTTTTTGTAGTAGTAGTATGAATTGATAAATGAATTTAACAACATAACATCACACCTTTCGTCCCCGAATGTTTAGAAGTGCACATTACGACACTTAATGCCACTGTACATTATAACACACACTTTTCATTATTTATCTTATGAGTCCCATGTAATAAGGGGTGAGTCTATTGCCATATACCGGGCACATTTCCAGACTCCGTGTTACTACTGAAAAACCCAGTAATACATTGTCTGACCCCTTGCCCAGCAGTCGTACTTGCGAGACCGCTCAGCCAATGAGGCAGTCAAATGAGTGAAATGAATTTAACTCTTATTGTTATGTAGATAGAAACTGTTACGAATTTACGGTCAATAGTGAGTACATGTATCACCACCGAGAAATAAAATTCATGTTTAAAAACTAAATGATAGTTTAATGTATATCTGGTTTCCATTCCATCATTCCAGACACTACTGGTACTTTATATACTTACAAGAAACATTTGAATAACATTTTACTGGCTGGTGAATCGAAGCCGAAGACCACTTGCTTTTGCGTTTCCACTGAAATTAATCAATTCCTTCGGGATACGACAAGTTGAAAACCAATGTTTGACATTTAACGTAGAATGTTCATATTCTAAATGTTGATGTAACTCTACATAAATATAGCCTAATGAAACACGAGTCGTCGTGTTAATCTAATGAGTACAAATGTTACTTTGTTAGGTTTAAAAGCCCGTAACTTTATTTAGAACTAGCTACTTCCTTCTACTGCTCAGCTCAGCCATCTTCGATAAATGCGCTATCCAACACAAAAATAATTATTCAAATCAGACTTGTAGTTACGGAGATAAGCGCGTTCAAACAAACAAACAAAAAAAACAAAATCTTCCGCTTTATATAATAGTAGAAGATGTAAGTTAACGCATGGAACTCATTACGATATTTACATTAGCCACGATTCCAAACTATGTGATAAGAATTTCGCAAAACACATTTTTTTTAATACTTCTGATACTTAATTGCCTTTACCACACGACCGCTATGCTCCCGACTACTTAATCAACGATTTAGTCAACATATTCTTTCTCAAAACATATTTTACCATAAAATAAAGTCCTCAGGTGTACGATACGTGTGACACCATCATTAATTGGCCGGAATATCGGTCAGGGTCGTGACCTTATCCGGGGGTTGCACTCGAGTAGCGCAGGGTTAGCTCGGGACCCTCGCCCCTTCACCTGAGTAGGGTTGTGTAGCTTCCAATTTACAATACATAGAAATGGATATAGTTTTCATCACTAGGTGCTAATATTATACACAGGACAATAGTTTTGTAAAGTTACTTGAACGAATTAAAATTTTCCAAACTTATTTTTATAGGTCTATGGTATAGGTCATTTTTTTCCCCGAAGTTCTTGCGGGATTGTAATCTTGTAATTGTAATTGTAGTTCTTTAGGATCATATTCTAAGTTGGGTGCAGCTAAGCCCGGAGATGTGATTTATCATGAAGGAACAAAGATATTTGTGTGTTATCTGTATTTTTATGCCCGGAAAATGGGAATGTGCTGGCTCCCTTAATATTTAACTTCTTAATGCCCGATTATGAAAAATCCACAACGTTTGTTCGTACAAAAGTAGTAGTTCGTTTTTATTTATTCTCCTCTTATAATATCTTCTGATTCACTTCGTTGCGGGAACCAAGACAGTTATTCATGTCCCTGGGACGCGCCGGACTTCAGTGTTCCGGCGTTTTCATGGTTGTATTTACTGTAAATCCTGGCTTACAGGAGTTTCCGCGGTTTTGGGAGGTTCTGGCGGGCTTGTTCCAATAAAAAAAGTCTCTAAACATTGGAAATAAGGTCTATAATGGTGTAAGTGGAGAGCGGTCACCGGTGACCGAGCTTGGGGAGTGAGCAGTGGTATGTTTCCAGACTAACGTTCATTTAAACCTAAAACAACGATTGGTTGATCTCTTAAAGACTTGTTACGATTATGAGACTACATTGCACAACAGTCGGTTGGTCATGCATTGTGCTAGTCGCCAGTGAAGCAGTCATTTATAACATAACATAACATCACGCCTTTTATCCCCGAAGGGGTAGGCAGAGGTGCACATTATGCCACTGTACAATGTAACACCCACTTTTCACTATTTATGTTATGAGTCCCATGTAATAGGGGGTGAGCCTATTGCCATATACCGGGCACAATTCCAGACTCCGTGCTACTAGTACTTAGAATTTTTAAAAACCCAGTAATACTTTGCCCGACCCGGGAATCGAACCCGAGACCCCTTGCCCGGCAGTCGCACTTGCGACCACTCGGCCAACGAGGCATTTATGTATACATACGTATGACTGGAATCAAGGAACAACCTATGATAGCATTTAGGTAATATGTGGGCTTCTCCCGTAAGTAACAAGGTACACACGGCCACACATCAATCTATACAAACCCAGTTTATCCTGGTATCGCGTCGCATCATCTTTCCGCACATTTAACGTTCAGTTTATACTGGTTAGGTAAAGCTCGATGTGTAGCCGTGTATACAGGGTGAAATACATGGTAGTAAATAAATATTTTTATATTTTTATACTACATATATGACCACCAGTATATTTTTAAGAATATAACTACGCTACTCTTGCGATGATGAATGAAAGAAATAAATTATTCCGGGGACAGTTCTCGGGACACAACATTTTCTTATCCTTCGTAACACGACAAATTATTTGGGAAACCATGTTTGCTATACAAGGGGACTTTGTCGACTATATTACGAACATTTTACCTCAAAATATTTCTGTTATAATAAAATATTTTCATCTTCCTTCTAACCCATTATATGTAGGTACTTACGTCACTCGAGTTCAGATATCAAAGTTAAATGACTTTTCTACTTATGTTTGATTGATTTCCATACTTATTATGGAAATTTCCCTGACTAATTTCCATAATTTTGAGAGATATAATTCAACTTTCATAATACAATATGTATTTACATACTTTTGTGCATAATTATATCGGTTTAAATGGTTATATATAGGTTTATATATATACTAGTTTTTACCTGCGGCTTCGCTCGCGTTACAAAAGGATAAAAAGTAGCCTATGTGACATATACCAATACACACAGCGCCATCTATACCAATAATTTCGTTTTCCCTAGAGAATATCAATTTATCCGATATATAAAGTACCCTATTATTTAATCCAGACTTCTAACTTTACGTCTGCAAAAATTCAAAGTAATCGGTTTAGTAGTTACGGCGTGAAAGCGGAACAAACAAACAAACTCACTTTCCGATTTATAATATTAGTAAGGATACCCTTGGAAGGAAAAAAGGCACAGAGTAAGAAATAAATTAAAACATTTAATAAATCACTTTATTTTTAATAATTTATATTCTTTTTATTATAATTTGAAGAACACAATTTTATATTTTCTGTTAGTTTATATATCTTTTATTTTACAACATAGTTACTTAATTTACAACCATCATTAAATACATCAATTTAAAATTAATATAACCTAATATTAATAAAATTGTATATTATTATAAATTGTAAACGGGACGACTTTAACTTTATTTACGATTCATTTATTTATTTCATTTTATATTTTGTGCATTATTAGTACGTCTAAAGAAAATTTAATTGAGGAAATACATATTTTACATTTTCTACGAAGAATATTTTTCGCCATAGATGATATTTCTTGAATCAATATAATCAAAATAAGGTGTATTTACAAGTGATGTATATTCTTCTGTGTAACATCGACTATTTACAAGTTAATTTTAGGTTTTTTGAACATAAATTTATATATTAATGTAAGAAGTCCCGTTGAAAAAATTGATAAATCTTAACATCTATCTCACATGATTTTCATAAGGGTGTTCATACATTGGGTTGGCACATATATTTTAATACAAAACATATTACAATGCATATTTAAATCTAAATATAAAATTAAAAGTTAAATATCAATGTTTGTGTCTTAATTTAAATAATTGGTATAAAATAAAATACAAAAAAATATTCAGTCTTTAAACAGATGTTTCACTGTTGGCCACGTTCAGCTACAAAATTAGTTTGACTTTTGTTCTAGGAAGAGACCCAATGACACAATTAGTAAATTACTCTTACTAATCTACAGTTTGTTTTGTTTTATATTTTACACGTTCCTATCTACTTGGTGTTCCATTTTATGAGATTCACACAAACTACATACGTCTTCACAAAAATATGTATTTTATTTTTATATTTATTTTATTTGTGTTGGGATTACTACTACTGAATTATCATCTGAAAGTGCCATTTAATATATTTCTTCTAACATCTCGTGATTTTAGAATTTAGCTTTCTATTATAACTTACGGAATAAGAATTGAAATTACACAATGTACAATTCAAAACCTATGTATATTTATCTTTGTAAATTATATTTACCACAAACAACAATCTACTAAGTTTAAAATTATCTTAGATATAATTTTGTAATATTCATAAATACCCTTTCTATACATCAATAAGTTTAGAGCATGACGACTACTGAGACAGACACACCTCAACACATGTATATACAATCTGATGACGCTACTGTTCTTACGAATATTTACAACGTGATCGTGTACCGGACGACTACAGCGGCCACATGTAGGATATGTCGGACAAGCGGGCCCCGGGCGACGGCGGCGGCGGCGCGCGCGGCAAGTACGGCGAGTGCGGCAGGTGCGGCACGTAGGGGCCGGGCGAGGCGGCCGGCGAGCCCCGCGCGCCTCAGATCGCGGGCAGCAGCGGGCTCGGCGAGCGCGCCACCCGCCGCACGCTGCCGCTCCACGCCTCCCCCATCATATCCTCGTCTCCCTGCACACGCGCACTCGACATACTCTCAGCGTCACACTCCTCAACTTCCCAACTCTGAGAGCGAGATGTTTCATTCGTTTTACTATGAGTAGGGCAGCTAGGACTAGGACGCCACTACCACGGAAGAGGAAACTATGCGACAGAAAGTTTCTCATCCTCGTCATGCAATCGGCTCGCAGGCAATCTTAGTCTACGACTCGCGGGATCTAGGGAGTTGACGTGCGGGATTGTGCGAGTGAGTTAAACCACGTATTACGGTGTCAACACTTACATATAAGAAGTAATTACCATCATCGTGTGAGGCGCAGGCGCGGAGTGCGCCGGCGCCGGGGGGGCGGGAGGAGCCATCGGTGGTGGGGGCGCGGGGGGAGGCTCCGGAGACACTGCCGCGGGTGAGAACGACGCTGGGGCTAGTGGTGATTGGGCTATGGACAAAATGTTAGGTATACTCCTAAACGTCTTGAACATGGCTATCAACCAGCCTATCACATCATGCCTACATACCAGCAGCAGTCAGAGCTAACACAAACTGACTCCAATGCACGCAACAACCGCAGCACAACTGCAAAGCCGCTCTCCGTAAAGCCCGATGTAAAGCCATGAACAGCAGAGGATTAACCGCCGCGTGGACATATGAGATATGTAGTGTGATTTGGAAATACATCTGAAACAATGGGCATTGGTGGATTATTTAAAAAAATATTTTATATTTGAAACTGTATTAATAGTATTTGTATTGTTTATCTTACTTCATAAGCTATGTGCGATGTGAGAGCCGGGTGATGCAGCAGAGTGATCAGAAACAGTGGGCCCCAGAACAGCACATATGCTGCAGTGATGACGAGGAACATTCGTACACGACGGACACCCTCACGCTCCACTCGCGCCAGATAACCTCGCAGTCTGCGACCACCACCCAGGGGAAGGTTGTTGCTGCCAGTTGGGCGACCATCCGAAAGAGTACCGTCCACAGTCTGCGAGAATAGAAACTGTATTAGAACAAATCTGATCAGTACGTAAATTACTTTCCGGTATCAGCAGGGATTTGTAAACTAAATATATAAAATTAAAAAAGAAAAAACCAATTTAAGTACAGAAGATAAGTACCATAGCCAATTTGTAACCAATAACTGACTTGACAAGTCTATCTATCAAGCTGTTAGTAGTATTGTTCGAAAGAATTGCATATTTAAAGAAAAAAATACATGTATTATAAATTTATAAATAAACATACATATATATATAGATAATTATTTGAATAAAGAAGAGTAATAATAAGAAATTCGTTAGTATATATACAAGGTAGGTATTTCATAAAGGCAGAGAACGGTTAAGAAATAGAATACACATAAACATAGTAGCTGAAAATACAAAGACTAAGATGTACAGGATGAGACAAGCATGCATCACACTCCTTACCCTGGGTCCGACGCTGTTGGGCAGGTTATCCATACGCCTGTTGTCACCTGCCATGCTGACAAGCGTGGTCACTAAACCAGCTACCCGTACTGCTTCTACGTTAGCCTGCATGCGATAAGATTTAAATTTATCGAATACTTAAATCTGAACCGCACTTTGGCAACGGCAAGCATTGAGTATGGTTTGTTGTTTAGAATTTATTTGGACGATGCACTTCTAAATGCGAACGTCCGTATCGAGTGGGGCGAATTCCGAAAATTTAAATCTTATTTGCGGTACACCGCATGGAATATTGGCAAGGTACCAACAAAAATTCCTATACCGGCCAACGTAAGACGACTATGCACAATATTGTATAGCGACTTGGAATATGCGGATGACTTCGTGAGTTTCAACGAGTTCTGAGCGCTAGTTCTGCCGCTCTCGCAACTGTGAACTGCATTACATACACTACGGAACTGGTTACATGTCATTCAAAACAACTGCTATAGCTAATACCATTTTTCACAAAGCCGTGGATGACATGTATGCTTTCAAATTACCTCGATATCGAATGATGATCATGGAGAAGTCTGTTCAGTGAGTATGGGAGATGATGCAAACAATGTAAACAAAGCATTACTGTTTATTATTACTTCACGAGAAACTAACCTCTCCATGCCATCTGTTATAGGGTCTCGGGAGTATTCGTCGGGTATAGTGTGATTAATGATATACAAACCTTAGTGAGATCTCGGTGGAGCTTTTTCAAGTGGAAAAGTGTCAATCCAATGCAGACAGCGTTAACGCCTATCCAAAGAGCGTTAAGCACGTAATGCCTGAAGGGTCCTCGCACTAAAGGACACGAGGGAGCCGGCCCGTAAGACCCGTAAGAGCCTGCACTGGCAGCCAAAGCCCCAGATAAGAACGTGGGCCCGAGATTTATCGTTATCGATGCGAACCAGATCATGAATGTTCCGAAAAGGACGCACTGCAACAAAATATTCACTTTATTTTAAACTTATTTTGAGTCACAAAACGTTTTAAATGAGCCCAGTATTGTATTGTAAAAATAAATTACTAAAATTAAGAAAAGAAAAAAGGGATTTTACCCCTGACAATACCGACATTTCCTCTACGGGCGAATTAAAGTTACGGTGGTGGTCGTAAGGGAAACGACAAGATCATAATTTTACCTGCGGGCTGTCCATCAGTAATGGTGCCGATAAATCAGCTTGCTCCTCCTCATTTTCGGGGAAAATTGGACTGTCGTTGAGAACTGTCGTGAGCATGTTCACTGTAGACACTGTCACCTAGAAAATATCTTAGAATTATTAACCACACACATACACGAGTGTGCGTCTTTATGTCAGGATCAACTAGTTTGTCCTAGCCTAAACTAATTTATCCTATCGGGCTCAGGACAAATTAGTTTGAACTAGGCTATACTAGTTAATCCTAATGCGTATAGGAAGAACTAGTTTGGCCTAGGCAAAACTAGTTTGTCCTGAAATCGGGTTTGGCCGGTAACATATATATAAAAAAAAACTAAATATTGTTCTTAGAAAATGTTTTATAATATACCTACAGTTTACCAGAATCAACAAATCCAACCAAATGTAGGTAAATATCAATCAAAGTACCTATTTCTAGTTTATATTCCAAAAACGAATTCTACCATTCCGTACCCAATCTACGTCATAACGCTAGAAATCCAGACACATTTGTCTACAAACATCCCAACAACTATTCAGAACTGACAAGATACTATCAAAATTAAGCATCGAAGATTATTCTTGCCTTTTCTCGTCCGTCTCAACTGAACTTAAGTGCCGATAAATCACTTTTATGTGCCAACTGCCTCCAGTTTCAAACAATCGTACTTTTGTCAGCGAAGATCTGTTACTTTTTGCATTCTATTGATGTTCATCTGTGTCTGATGACACTTAAGTTCAGGCTCAACTTGATTGTAAAATAAACTTTGATTACAATAACTTTCGTTGGGAATAAATTAGAAGGTATTTCTATTTTGCATATGATTTTGCTGACGTTAAACCAAATTATCTAATTTCGTGTCTACAAAACTATTTATCAGGACGCATTTTTCTGTAAATGTACCAATATGAGATACTTATTTTCTTCTTTTTGGTTATCACCATCACCCCTTTTATCCCCTGAGGGATATGGTAGATCTGCACATTACGGCACTTGTACAATGTAACATCCACTTTGTACTATTTATGTTATAAGTGATAGTCTATTGCCATATACAGCACAATTCCAAATTCCGTGATTAAACTAAGATTAAAAAAGAAACCAGCAATACTTAGTCTAAGCCCTTACCCCTTGTCTAGGCCTCTTATCCGGCAGTCGCACTTGCAACCGCTCAGCTAAACGAGGCAGTCACATTCTAGAGGTATTATTATAAGCTAAAAGAAGCTGCAGGTTTTCATTTGGCGTCATAGCTACATTTGCATAAAACTATTTCAGTCTCCCTTAAAACAATAGGCAAATTCCCAAAAGGCAATTTATACTGATAGCCTATTCAACGATACTTGTATGTAGGTCCTCGTATAATCATAAAAAAGTTATGGGTCAATGAACATTGGATGGGTCATATAAGTTAATGGAGCCATATGGCCGACTGGTCAAGTTATAGACCATTAATCGAGATAATCATTTGCAAACATTTCCACAAATGCTACTCACGAAGCGAATTGGGTACTTCTAAATTTGGACGTCCACATACATAATTGACTCTAATGGACCCTCATTCTGAATGTTTATTATGGATATAAATGTGCCAAAAAATGTTTTCCCGGGCCTGGTTTATGTCACAATTGTCTGCACTGTTTCTATTTAAAGAAGTACTATTTTTAATATAGGCTGACACGTTTCAGTTCATTAGAGTTACCACCGGTAATCAGCAGAAAACCACCCAAGCATAATAAACAACGTTCATTTATGTCATTTATGCTTCCTCCAACATAACATCATCATAACATAACATCACGCCTTTTATCCCTGAAGGGGTAGGCAGAGGTGCACATTATGCCACTGTACAATGTAGCACCCACTTTTCACTATTTATGTTATGAGTCTCATGTAATAGGGGGTGAGCCTATTGCCATATACCGAACACAATTCCAGACTCCGTGCTACTACTGAGAATTTTTTTAAAACCCAGTAATACTTTTCACGACCCGGGAATCGAACCCGAGGCCCCTTGCCCGGCAGTCGCACTTACGACCGCTCGGCCAACAAGGCAGTCAGTTTTGTTAAATATTCCACATACGACAATTTTTATCAAAGCATTTGACCACAGTATAATTGACTGTTCCTTTTATCTTCCATAGTATTTCAATAAAAATATATTAAACCCTTTCCTCTAACAAGTTTATTCCTAAAATAGTAGCTACACCACACACGTAGTGCTAACTCCGCACTTTTCCAATAAATGCGGACTGAACATTTTTGTGCAGTATTTTTTTAAAAATGCTGACTGGCCGTGACACGAATTTAGGTGACTAAAAAATTCCGATACTGACTGTACGGTTTTTAATTTTGAGGGCGAAGTTGTATTGTGTTGAATCCGCCGTATATTCTGTGTTCAGTGGTTTCACTTCATTCAGTTCGACATGTTTAGAATTGCATGTCATAGGTACGTGCGAGCGAAGTGTGTCATGGGAGTGGATAAAAATTGTATCACCCTACCCGCTCCGGCAACGAGTAACGAAGTTATATGAAGAGTAGGCTTCATGTAAATACAAAGTTTATTTATGAGCTTAAAGACTTTTTCTATATCTAAGCAAAAACTTGTTGGTAGACTGTATTTTGAACTTCATTTCAGATTCAGAATTCGTCTGCATAATTGATTACTGTACCCATTGAACTAATTTACTGATTCCTTAAGTAGCACTATTATCACTCTTTACATTTAACAACACTAGTAGTTTGTAGTTTTTTTTTCTTCCTACGATACTGATCAATCAGTGAAAGTAATGGCTATCGCATAAATAATATTTAAATAACAAATTATTAACTTACCAGGAGCAGAAATGCCGTTTCAACCAGCGAGCATTTGTAGACTGGCTGGCATCGGAACACAGCAATGCCGAGAGGTAGCAAGATGGCTGCCCGAGCGAGGTCCACAATCGCTTGGTGGAACAGCAGACCATGAGACCATCTAGAAATATACACAGATAAGTACTTTGGAGTCAATTTAATGTCCCCTTTATAGGTTTTGGTGTCGGCCACTAGGATAGTTTTCCAAAAATTGTACACACTCCCCCAAATAAAGAAAATTCATCATAGATCTTAAGTTGATCGAAGCCATAATGTATCACCGCAAGGTCCAAGACATCTTAGGTATGTTGTAGGGTAAATTAGGTTCGTAGCTCGTTCTTCAAGCTAATACAAAGCCTTTGTATTAGCTTGAAGTATGGAGGTGTACTATAAAATAAACTTCTGTCTTCCTCGTTTGGAAATGAGACACATGATAACAATGACGATGGATGACAAAAATTCAATGTTAAAATAAATACAAAATGCTAGGATATTACTGTACTCCTGTTAATTTTATTACGTCGGATTCCTGTAACAACATTTTTCTCGGGGCTCCCTTATCTTTTCTGCGAGACTGACACAGTACGTAATTTAAATTCCGAGTTACGGGAATTACAGCGATTTTGCCAGGCAATATTTCATAGCTGAAGCAACAAACATACTTTAGAAATAAGCAAAGAAAATTGTACTTTATTCGTATCTGAATTAAGTAGAAAATCGTATAAATGATTTTCAGAGTGTTTTTGTAATTTTCATCAATGAAGTGGTCCCATTGCGCTTGTTACTCGAGTACTCAATTTTCTATTTTATATTGAGGGCGATTAGTATCAATTGACTCAGTATGAGTCTGTCATTACTCTGCTTCTAAGGCAGAGAATTCTAAAGCAAATTATGCTTTCAATCAATTGAGGTCATATCTTAGAGAGAATTAAATTAAAGTTACAGCTGTATCACAAGGAAAATTACTACTTACGGAACAAATTGTGTATCTAGCTGTGTCAGTACATACATAATTCGTCGACCTATTATAATGTTAATACTTCTTATTGTATTAACTTCATTCAATTATCGATATAGCTTCACCTAGCTTCACTGCGGACTGACTAACAGACTATTATTTATTTTGTATTTGTTGACGTTTCAAAAGTACCAAATTATGGTTTAATTGAAATAAATGCTTTGATTTTGATAAACTTATTTTCGATCATTCGCAACAGATCAATTCCTCAGAATTTGGCTAAACCCAATAAAACCCTTAGATTACTTCTCACAACCAATAATATACCAAACTAACTAAAAATACTTCAACACAATTACTTCACAACTACAATCCAACATCGTATATAACACAGCATCCCTACTTCTCATAAAACGGTCCTCAAGGGCCACGCGAACATCATAATTCATGCTGTCAAAGTAACAGGTATAAAATTTCCAATAAGTGATTTATCAATCATCAGAAAGTGTCACGCACTTAGAGTGCCCTAGAGGGCGCACTTGGGGAGACATTTCTTCGAATCACAGACGTAAATAATACATCAGGTGATCCGTTGGAGCATTTTGAGAAACTTCGGGGAATAAGACAGGTTTTGTTTATTTAGAACTACCCCTTACCCGCGGCTTCGCTCGCGTCACAAAAAAATAAAAAGTAGCCTATGTGACATATACCAATACACACAGCGCCATCTATACCAATTCTTTTGTTTTTCCTCGGAAATATCATTTTTTTCCGAGTTAAAAAGTACCCTATTATTTAATCCGGCTTTTTAACTTTACGTCTGCAAAAATTCAAAGCAATCGGTTGAGTAGTTACGGCGTGAAGGTGGAACAAACAAACAAACAAACAGACTCACTTTCAGATTTATAATATTAGTAAGGATTCCTCGGGAACCTTTCTCTTGTTTATATCTCTTCGGTGATCTGGTATTTCAACGTTCTGATATGTGTTATTATTTAGTATTTAATATTGTTATTAGAACATATATTTTAATCTAAAATGGTTAAGGAACCTCGAATGCCTTTTATTACATGCATACATAACATCACGCCTTTTATCCCCAAAGGGGTAGGCAGAGGTGCACATTACGGCACTTAATGCCACTGTACAATGTAACACCCACTTTTCACTATTTATGTTATGAGTCCCATGTAATAGGGGGTGAGCCTATTGCCATATACCGGGCACATATCCAGACTCCGTGCTACTACCAAGATTTTTTAAAACCCAGTAATACTTTGCGCGACCCGGGAATCGAACCCGAGACCTCTTGACCAGCAGTCGCACTTGCGCCCACTCGGCCAACGAGGCAGTCATTGATTTTATAAAAATGTACTTGACAAATAGGACACCTGAAAAATAGGTATAAAATAAACCTATGGAACTGAAAGCTCAGTGACCCTTATAAAATTAAATGATGAAGATGTCAGGTAGATAATTAACTAGAAATAATGTTACTAACAATGTTGTTCATCGTTGTAGTATGACGACCAATTATTTCAACATTGTCGGTCGAAATATATCTGACAACTGACAACGACCAATTAAAACTTTACATAATGTAATTTCATTCAAAACATCTAAAACCTTTTTGGCATACTACCTCTATAATGGCAACATTTTACATATTTTTTATTTCTATATATTTTATGTTTGACATGGATTTTGTTATATTATTGAATACCATTACGTTAAGTGTAAGCTGCAGAGGTGCACATATTTCATCCTTATGTACCAAAAATTTAAACTCTAGTATACTGATTTTAAAATCCTCCATTTATCATTTTAATATCATGACTTTAATATGTCTTCTGTTTACAAAACCAAATAAAAGATAGTTTTCAAGTGTGGGAGAGCCATGCTTCAGCACGAATGGGCCGGCTCGACCGGAGTGACACCACGGCCTTACAGAAAACCGACGTGAAACAACGCTTGCGTTGTGTTTCGTCGTGTGAGTGAGGTTACCGGAGGCCCAATTACCCCCCTCCCTAGTCCCCGTCTCCCGAATCCCCGAATCCTCCACAATCCTCAAATTCCCAATTCCCAAAACGCCAGTAACGCACTTGTAACACCTTGGTGTTTCGAGTGTCCATGGGCGGCGCCGATTGCTTACCATCAGGTGATCCGTCTGCTCGTTTACCGACTTATGCTATAAAAAAAGTTAATTAATTTCTTTGTAATACATACTTGTAACATTATTAATATTGTTACAGTTACAGCAAATATTGGCTTAGTCGTCATCACTCGGGGGCTTACAACACAAGAATAGAACAGCCAGAAATACATTTTACATTTCTAACATGTCAATCGTCTTGAACTAGGTTATCCGACTAGACATAGAAAAGCCATTTAAGATTCTATTTATAAAATGGTAAGGTGCAATTTACGTCGTGTGAAGACAACAGAGCAGTATACCTATATATTTGTAGTTACTACCCTAAAGGTCTTTCTCTTTTAAAAAACGTTGCCCCGCACTAGTTTTTTCTTCTGTATCATGAGTGTGTTTACATATACCTATGCATGATACAAGTTCACATGCACATCACACCCAGACGCGCACGCTGCTTATGAGGAAGAATCCCTCTGTGGTTCGAAACTAGTAGAGCTTTTCTCAGTATCTTCACGTGAGTAACCCGCGATTTTAGTACATTTATGTGTAGAAGTTGATATTATGATACTACCTACATCAATGGAAATATTTATAATAATATGAAAATATTTTCTTAATAGGCATTAAAAGCATAGCTATCATTTCATCAGAACATTTAGCTATCTTAATGAAACCTAAATCCTCTCGTAATGGCTTCAATCTAAGTTTAAAATAAATGTGAAACAAAATACAAATGCTATCTAATATGAAAATAAAATTTGTAGAACGATTGCAAGATTTATATTTTAAAATAAGATGATTAGAAGAGGAGAGGGACTAGAATTTAATTTCATGTATTTGCGTTGAATCAAATTGAATTTTCATAACAATAGTTTTTTTGCAAATGCTTAAACCCGTTAACCAAAATCTAGTAAGTACACGAATCATCTGAAGGCAAGCCATTCGTTCTGTTCAAGTGCCCATAGACACTTTTGACACCCCAATATTCTGTTTGACCCGGCAATTGTACACTAAACCACTTTCGTGACAATTGCACTTTTGACTAACAGGTCAACAAAGCAAAACAATACATAACTTTTAGCATTGTCAAGCTATAAGTAGAACAGTTATAAAGTAAGAAACAAAAAGGTCCTAATTGCATGTAAACAGAAAAACACAAGCAGAATGACAAATGATGTCTAATTACTGTCCTACCATTAACATTCCTCTTTATAGCATGTAGCATAACATCATGTTGTTTGTTTAATATCAACCATGAAATTTATTTCGTTTTCGTCAAGAAGAAAAATGGTTCTGTCCCGGTAATACGATAGTTTTACAAAGAAATAAAATGTTTAAAAAAAAAATAAGTGGTAAACTATTGCAAAAAGTAAACTTTGAAAGTGCATATGAACTCATAGTACATCATCAAAACATCACACAATGTAATTCTAGAAGAGGTATTCTCGTAGGGTGGTGCTATGCGCATAGTGCCTAAAAACAGCCATCTACGTGACATGTAAATTTCGAAATGCGAAAGTCAATGAATATTTTTGTAAACTAAAAAAAAACACGTCTTTATTTTTTTGTCTTTACTCTATACATCGATAGTACTCCTTATTTTTTTATAGCATAAGCCGGTAAACGAGCAGACGGATCACCTGATGTCGGTGCCGGTGTCGCCCATGGACACCTGGAACACCAGAGGCGTTACAAGTACGTTTGGGGCTTTTGGGGATTAGGAGTTTGAGGATCGTTGGGATTCAGGTATTGGGGAGACCAATCTCCAAGGAAGGGGAGGGTAATTGGGCCTCCGGTAACCTCACTCACACGACGAAACACAACGCAAGCGTTGCTTCACGTCGGTTTTCTGTGAGGCTGTGGTATCACTCCGGTCGAGCCGGCCCATTCGTGCCGAAAGCATGGCTCTCCCACACTTACAGTTACAATTACGCTTGTATTAACCCATTGTGTGTCTAAACGTGGATTCACGCGCGACTCAATGTCTTTTCTATTGTGTCTCACATCAGTGCATTCAAGCGGTTAATACACTTCTTGAAAATAATTATGAACAACCGTAATGTAATCAATCTAAACTGCAATTTTCCAATAATATAATTGAGATTTGATAGTAAATTTACGAATAAACTGAAATTGCTTCAAACTCTTTGTGTGATCCACAAATTGTTGTTTCAATTCTGGGTGTGATGTGCGTGTGAACTTGTACATATGTTTGTTAAAGCACCCATGGCACAGGAGATTTTCTCCTAGTGTGGCCTACGTTTATTTAAAAAAATACTATTACCACAAATGAAATTTTCCCGTATGACTCATTTTCTAATTTCAACAAAACTAATATAAAAATATGTGATAAAATACCCTTATTTTGTTTGACATACAAGATAGTCCTTCATAAATCGAACTATGAACAAAAAATACTTTTTCCTGTTTATTTTCTCTGTATTATTAAAGGGAAAACATCTTAAGTTCTCAAAATTAACACTCAGCTTATGCGATCAGATATTTTCTCGAAAGACACCTTCAATCCGATTCAAATAGATCCTATCTTATCGAATTACTACTGGTAGTGAGTCGGTAATTTGATTTCACAGCAAATTGAGAGCCCTCTGGTGTAAATCATATTTTCTGAGGGCTTTATCTTTTAGCTAGAGGATAATGGTACTCGAAGAAAATTGGGTAACAGAGACGAATTACAATAGAAGATGTGCTCTTAGTAAATGGTTTCTACCAACAACCATTCCATTGTGGTTCTGCTGACTATCGCTGGATCTATTATTCTAACCTTTTCATTATATTAGAGTACTTTTTGGTAGCGTATACTGTAATAATATTTGCTATTAATATCGTCTATATGAGCAGGAAAACATGGTTGCGTTGGGTGTGTGAGTGGTTGAAGTGGAGTGAATGTGTTATCCAGTTTCGCCTATATACATTAGTTATATTGCATTATGTTCGTAACCCCTTTTAGGACTGAGAAGAATGAAGACTGATAGTAAATAAAATGTAATATTATATTGTTTTAATTTACTCAGGTAATAAAACTAACTCAAAATAAAACATTAGTAAAATCTATTTAACGATAAATAAACATTACTTTTTAATTATTATGTTTTCGGCTTACTTACGTAACTTTTTGCGACGCGTCGACTGTCACGTTGCAACAGTCGCCGCGTCGCGGGTCGCAGAATGCTCCTCATGAATATGAGCCTCTAGCATGGCTTGAAACTAGTCGAGTTCCTCGTCAAACAGTAACGTGAGTAAGCCGAAAACATAATTATTATATGTCTCACGAAAATTTTAATATTACTTTTTTTTATTTGAGTTTCTATCTTCATTAGGAAAATATAGCCCTTATGTAAACATTAATTTATTCTTCTTCAAGTAGAACAGTCACGTATAGTGCTCTTAAAGTAGCTTTCAAAATATTAAAAGAAATAGTATCAAGATATTTTAGCGAAGCAAATTTGTATTCGAACCTAACGAGCAAAAACTTTTCAAAAGAAGTCCTTTATACACAGTTCGTTTCCTAAAAAACGTGTCCATTCAAGTAATAAGGCTTCGCGAAGAGAAAAGGCCAGATATTATCTAATTACGTACGTCTACGAACCTTCCAATTTCGTCAACTCGAAAGTTATTTTGAGCGACTCAAGTTCGAATTGGATTAAATTGTAAGCGCCTAACACTTATTAGATTAACGCCGTATAAAATGCATATTCAGTAGTCCACGTAAGTAGTATTCCCTGTTTTCGAATACAGACGTGCCCGATGTGTGGCGCTGATTGCTGTTACACCAATACCTATGATCGTAACGTGTCCGATGTTATGTGGCGAATAATATTAGCGTCATCGTTAAACGTCTTTCTGTCGCATAACACATGCTACACCGCTGTAAATGAAACCACAGCCTCGTAAAATAAGCAACATTTGAATAATGATAAACATTTATTTTTTCCTTTTTCTCATTCTTCGTATCGGAATGGCCTCTGAAATTTATAGCCCTTATTTCTTGCAAAGTATTACGACTTGATTTATGTGTGTTTTTTTCTCCACAATATTTGATAATATTGTTGTTGGACACTTTGGATATTCAGAATGTAGTCGGCTATCGTGATTTATGACTTATGTTCTGTATTGTAATTCAAATATTCAGGTTTTCGTAAAATACCTGAAAAAAATCTTTTATTTGGTTAACTTACCAGCCCTATGTTTTGCATTCACAAGCAGTATTTTTCCCGTATTTTTAATCTAATAACGTCAATGTTTGCATAACTCACCTTCGCAATTGTTTTTTGCTGAGTATTACCGCCATCAGTGCTAAATTAGCAGACATTCCTAGACTGGAGAGTGCTAGTAGAGCGGCAGCGCTCGCAGCACCACCTGGCGGGCAGTGCCGCGTGTTATTGACCACTGAAGAATTAGTAGCCCCTGCTGAACCGAAGCGAAGGTTCGCTCCGATCATGGCCACGGCGGACCCTGCTTGAGGAATGACCCCTATGAGAAAATTACGAAAACAATTTCAACAAGAACATAGAAATAGGCGTATAGTTACCTATTGTTATTTTGCTATTAGTTTCTTGATCTGAAAGACGAAATTAAAAACATCAAGTCAACATTGCAAATAACAGTAAAAAGTAAACAAGACAAGTATAATCGATGTCATTTGATATATTTTCAAACCAATGACAAAGATTAATTGAAAAAATAAAATTAATAATTTGAAAATTTTTGTTTTGTTCGATAAGACATAAGAAGCCAATTACTATTCCAATCATTCCACAACATTTAAGACAACATTTACGTATCACAACATCCATAGAATTACCTGCTGACATTTTGGCGTTTGGACGTCCGCTCTTAATGAAACTTTACTATCGAATGCAATGAATCACTGTGACAGCCAATCAGAACGCCCCCCGTCCCCCCACCGGCCCATTGCATTTTTGCACCAATAACGTTGCTACTCACTAACATTACAATCAGACTTAAGTCCTTTGTTTATTACACTGTATCGTTTGTCTCACGAATTTAACACTGGTTTGATGTCCCAACTGATTGCAGGCTTTTGTTGATTCTACTTTTGTGCACTTGTGTACAGTCCCACTAACTTGTTTTTAAATCTGTGGAAAGAAAAACAGTTATAATTTACAGAAAACAAACAAACAATTGAAAAGTTTATACGAAAATATTCAGCTACAAAACTAACTATCATAAGTTACTGCTAGTAATAAAATCTGGAGAACAAAACACCTGGATTGCAAAGATTAATGATGCAGACAGGATTGTAAAGTCTAATTTAGCAGTACAAACTTGACTCAGGCTATGTGTGGCTTAGTACTCCATATCAAGCAAACTCCATGTTTATGCAATCAACTCAATACTGGCTATGGAAAGTGGTACAACGCGTGTCAGAATTTAAGCCGACGACATGTCAAACGCTGCACTAATGAATAGTTCACAAGGAAATTACGGACAGTACAGCAAACAAAGCCAGAAATGCCACTCAGGATAGCATTTAATCGGAACAGTGGAAGCGAATCTATGCCGTATTGCTGAAGTGGTAGCGGCTATTTTCGAAAGACTACTGGGTGAGCCTTCTGATGCGTATCTGTGATGTAATCATCGAGTGTCTATTATAATTGAGTTGCAGTCACTACTCAGTCCCTTTACGTAGTACGTCCAGTCAACCTTTGCTTCCCTAGTAACTCGGTTGAACAATATAGTGACAGATTACAGCAGTGGTTTGGAGGACAATTTAGGCAGATAATAGTTATTTAGTTCACTACACATTATTATTTGGGGCATAGAAGTGCAAACTCAGTAACATAATAAAGTGGTGAGTTCACTTGTTTTTTTTTTCGTTTATAGCTTCTGGTTAGATTTTTTCTAAAGTTGATAAAGACAATAGTTTTACATTTCAGTTGCAGGTCAGGTCAATAGGGATGATGACAGGGTATGAAAATAAAAATCTAATTAGTCCGTCGATTAGGTAATAAAAAATATTAGGCAAGCATTTTTTTATTTTGTCGTAAAAGAAAACAATAGTTACTTATATAAAACGAATCAATGTTTAGTTAGAGTAATATTTTCATGGTAATATTTATTTCATCATTTTGGTAATTTTTATACAAGTAGGCACTTATAATGTTCGTATTTTTAATTGGAGTAACTTTTACTTGTTAAACCCATCATAAATGGGTCGAGTTTATCCGTAAGCTATACAATAACTTTTCTTCTAACTTTTGGGTCAACATTTTAAAGCACATTCAAATATTGAGCACAAAAAAGTATCTATTAATAAATTCAGTACCCATCTTCTAAATAAGAAAAATAATATAAAGCAATAAAGAATAACTTAGGTACTAAAATAAAAAAAGGTCAATAGAAACTTTGTAGTATTAAAAAGGTTGTCGTGGTGGCCCTGAAGTTGAAGACGCCTGCTTCTCATGCACGAGGGTGCAGGTTCGAAACCTTCCAACAGCAAGTACCAATGTGACTTTTTCCGAGTTATATGTAGTTTCTAAGATTATTTAAATACCACTGACCAACGGTGAAGGAAACCATCGTGAAGAAACCTGGGCTTATAATTTCTAATTATAAGTTTGAAATCGCCAACCCGCATTGAGCAACCGTGGTTATTAATGCTCTAACCTTCTTCATATGAGAAGAGGCTTTGCTCAGCAGTGGGCATTTATAAGCTGTTGATGATGATAAAAAAGGAGTTGGAATGTCAAATGTTAGATGAAGTGGAACTAGATTATTAAGGGAACCATAAGTGAGATGGTGTGAGGGCTACCGTATTATTTGTCTTCAGGTAACCCAAATGTAGAAAGAAGTTTATTAGTCCAATCACTGCAGCTGTCAAAGAGAGACGTCCAATGGTGTGACACTAGCTAATTCCCTATTGGACGAAAAAGTAAAGTCCACACTAACGCCATCTGCTGGGCAAAAATACAGTAGCTTCCATTATCACTGAAATTTTAAGACATTATAAGTGTAATGTCTGCCTCGTTGGACGAGTGGTCGCAAGTCCGACTGCCGTGCAAGGGGTATCGAGTTCGATTCCCGGGTTGAGCAAAGTTTTACTGGGTTTTTTTTTTCAAAAAAATCTCAGCAGTAGCACGGATTTTAGAAATGTGTATATAGCAATTGGCTCACCCCCTATTACATGGGACACATAACATAAAATCGTGAAAAGTGGGTGTTAAATTGTAAAGTGGCGTAATGTACACCTGCCTACCTCGTCGGGGATAAAAGGCGTGAAGTTATGTTATAAGTTTAATGTCCACTATATCATATATTTTTCAACAACCAACACGTTTTATTTTAAACAAGTTAAAGCAATTCTATTAACCCAAAATTAATCCTGTCAAATAAATTACTGCAAAAACGACACTATCATACATATTAATAGAACTCAACATAGATAGATGGGTTTGCATAAATTAGCCTAAATCAGCATACAGAAACAAACAGTAAAATATTAGGTAACAATAGAAATGCTTTGTGTTGATTTCAGGCTGAAATTCAGGAGAGACAATCTAATTCTGAATCTCCGTTTCAGCGGAGTGTTTAATCTAAGTACAATGTTAGCTATTACAGTACAATGAAAGGTCCTTTCAGGTTTACTTTGCCCGTAGACTGGTTAATGGAAATTTTCAGTAGCTTGCAATATTTGTTGCTAAACGAATTTTCTGAGGGGCGAAAGTAATTTGAATATCTTTGAGTATTTAAAATGATAATGACTGTAAAAAAGACCGCTTTAGAAACAATAAAGGTGTCAGAATTTAGATAATTCAGCTTCCTATACAGTTTTCGCTTCATTGCTATTATAGCTTCAACAATATTATTTTATAATCTCATATGACAGTGTTGGAGAGCCATGTTTCGGCACGAATGGGCCGGCTTGACTGGAGTAATACCACGGCCTCACAAAAAACCGACGTGAAGCAACGCTTGCGTTGTGTTTCGTCGTGTGAGTGAGGTTACCGTAGGCCCAATTACCCTCCCCTTCCCCAATCTCCCCAATTTCTGAATCCCCAACAATCCTTAAACTCCTAATCCCCAAAAAGCCGGTAACACACTTGTAACGCCTCTGGTGTTCCAGGTGTCCATGGACGACGCCGATTGCTTACCATCAGGTAATCCGTCTGCTCGTTTACCTGCTTATGCCATAAAAAAATAACTTGCTCTGTTCATTGATCGACCTCGTGACGTCATTTCATTTTGTGTCTCATAGTTATTATTTCAAAGTTAGCTATCCCAAGCAGAAGTTTATAAAAAATCTCTTTTATATGTTAGCAAGTTATCTTGAAAGGCATTCTTCTAGTCGCCACTTTCCCGACTTTATGACGCTCTTAGTGCCATACATTACGGTTACGACTAGGCTTTGAACAACGACTGTTTTATGAATACCCGCAAAATAGAGTCGTAAACAACGCTATGTTGGTAACTCCTTGCAGAGGTCAGATCATGATAAATTATTTATTTTGTTCACACATTAACATAAATTTTATTTTTATTCGTATTTTTTATTGTTTACAGTTTTAGTGTCCGATTTAAGAGAGAAAGTTGAGCTAATTATCATACACTGAACCCAATTCTAAACTCCATGTTAGTACTAAGTTATGTTGACTGAAAAATGGTTTAAAAAAAAATATGACTTCTACTTACTTACCTCGCGACCATTACTAGTGTTCCACCGTTGTAATAATACGACTAGATCAGTAACAAGACAATACAATATTATATAAGATGATACCTACTACATAGTAATTTGTATATCGAAATCGATTGAGAACGTTGCTTTGTATGTGTCTCACGCCCATATATTTGATCGCGTAGGATTTGGGGGCTTCCCATCCCTTTCAGTTTAAGGAAAATGATGAAATGCGAACGCGGGTGCCACATGCCTCTTATTTCCCGTAGGAGTAAACAGAGATGAACTTAAAATCGACGTTTTTTTGTAGGTTAGGCAGTAGGTAGTTTTTAGTACTAAATAAGTTGGTTTTGGTGGTACGACACGACCAGATGCATTATGCAGACCTAATGAATTAGGTTCCATCACATTCATACATCTGGTCGTAAATCACTTAAGGTTTGATTATCCAAAGTCTGTGAGTCATTTGTGACAAAGCATGATATTATTTAAAAAAATAAAGTCTTTATTTTGATCGAAATGTTGTTACAAACAAAATTCGGTAATGTCATAAAATTCAAAGAGATATTTTCGTAATTTTCCTTTGTTTAAATATGTATTTCATGTAACAGATAAGCTTGCGATACACGTTTCATGTTTTGTTACTATATTTAAGGAATTTGTTATTTAAATAAAATCAGTTAAACCTGGGATATATTACAATGGTTCTCCATTTTCATATTTTTGTCTTTATTTGGTTTCGCAATTATGGTGAAATGGTTTCAATATTCATACTGGTAACGCTGAACGCATCGCCGGACACTGCAGGCCGACGCGCCTGCACTTCGCCATTACGCCACTGGCCGACCCTATGGGCCGACCCAGCGGTCACACGCACTCGCTCAGCGTACTCGCATCATTAGTTACACGTGTATGGTGTATCATAG